CAAGTGCAAGGTCCTGCAAGGGTGTTGGCAACTCTCCAATATCAATACAGGCTGGAATATTCAGAGCAGCCCTATGGATAAGGACTCAGGGATATTGGTGGGTAACAAATTAGGTAAGAGTGGGCAATGTGCACTTGCAGCCCAGAAAGCCATTCACATCCTGGGCTTCATCAAAAAAATTGTGGCCAGCAGGTCAAGGGAGGTGATTCTTGCACTCAGCTCTAGTGAGACCCCACTTGGAGTACTGCATCCAGCTCTGGGGTCCTCAGCACAAGAAAGACATAGACCTGTTAAAGCAGGTCCAGAGGAGGACCACAAAGATGATCGGAGGGCTGGAGCACCTTTCCTATGAGGAAGAGCTGAGAGAGTTGTTCAGCCTGGAGAAGGCTCTAGGGAGACCTTGTAGCAGCCTTTCATTATACAGGAAAGAAGAAGAGAGCCTCTTTGTTTACACCTGTAGTGACATGTCAAGGGGTAATGGTTTTAAACTGAGAGTAGATTTAGATTGGATACAAGGAAGTCAATATTTATGATAAGAGTGGCGAGACACTGGAACAGGTTACCCAGAGAAGTTGTGGATGCCCCCTTGTTGGAAGTTTTCAAGGTCAGGTTGGATGAGGCTTGAGCAACTTGGTCTAATGAAAGATGTCCCTGCCCATGGCAAGGGAGGTTGAATTAGATGATTTCGGTCCCTCTCAACTCAATTCTTTCTATTACTCTACAAGTCTCTTCTATGATTTGAATTTGTATAAGAGTTTAGGGTTAGAAGGTTTAGGGTTTGGCTGAGGAATGGGGATTAGGATTAGGATTAGTGTTAAGGTTAGGAGAAAACATATAAAATCATTGCTTTTGAAACACAGAAACACAGGTTGTGGTTATTTGACCTGACTGGAAATTGCCCAGTTTCCAGCGGAGGGGGGAGGGTGAGGGGAATGGGGAAGTAGAGGAGATTAATTCAGAGAGGAAATAACCGATTACAGTTTGTGGTATCAAGTCTAGAAAGGAGCTATATAAATAACAGAAAATATATAAAACCCCTCAGTAATGAGAGATCTGAGAAGGCTAATATAGTATTCAAATGGAAATGGATATTTGAAAATTCCCTAGAAATGCCACAGCACTGAAGAACTTGCCATTTATTTTCTTCCTTTTTTTTCTTATTTTCTGCTTTTAAAGTTATAGCAAGTTCATATTGCCTAGACTGACTTGTTTATTTTGTAATTGTTATTTGCATATAAATGATTCACTGGAATATGAAGCATGAAAAGAGTGTTGATATTAATCTGAGTATACATGTTCTTTTACCAGCTTTCAACACATTGCCTAAGTAAAATTTTAAAAGTACATTTATACAAATTCTTGTACTGCATCTCTTCCCTGATTACCTAGTCCTTTTTAATTAAGTGCTTAAGCATAAGATAGAGGTTTCTAAATGGATAACAGATATAAATAATATAATTGAGCAAATTAAAGAAGACACAATGAAGATCTACAGCATAGCTAACTAGACAAATTTAAAATAAAGTTTTGCAGTGTTAACTTCTATCTCTCTCACTAGAAACAGAGTTGAAACACACCTCATTCTATTCTACTTTTTGTGAAGCCATCAGTATTTTAAAAATATTTCTAAGCTTGATGGCTAAAAACTAAGATGGTAGAGTCAGGTAAACAGCCTACATTTTCTTCCTACCCTCAGTACTCCAGAAAGGAAATGCTCACCACTCCAAAAGAAGTGCTCTGTTGACATCCATCTGGTAGAACACAGAGGAGGTAGATAGGATTGATAAGCAGGCAAGGCTAAACCATGACTGTTTCAACTTAAAATAGGTGGGGAAAATAAACATGTATTAGTGTAGAAAAGTCTAGGCCATTTAATTTAATCTCAGTGTTCTCTGTTGAGAAGTCACCCTGAACTCAAGCAACAGCTTTGAGCACTGGAGTGCCATAGTTGGGTTCTGAAAACAAAAACTAGAAGGTTTGTTAGTATATTTATAAAAAAAAATGGAAAAAATAGTATCTTCAGAAAACTTTGAAACTATTCAGTTCCTTAAGTTATCTGTGTTCTTGTAAGAGCTGACATAAGAAAGAAACCTCAACAACGGTCATGGAATTGCTTTCACTGGCTATCGGCTGGTAAGGACTGCTGTGTGAAATGTTGGGATACACCACTAGCAGAAATCACAGTGAATAGAGTAGAAATAATTGACAGGCAAAGAAAGGAAAGGAGAGAAAGTTACCTTTGAAGACCTCAACTCAGCTTAAATTGGAACTTGAGATCCTGAAAGAAATCAAGATGTTAAATGTAAATAAAGGTTAATGCAGGAAGGGGTTAACGTAGTAGGTGACCTACCAGTTATCTCTCAAGATTAAGACTATAAAATTGTTGTTACAGTTCTTCCCAGGTATTCCTTCAATTTGGGCAAGAAAAATCCAGTGGGCTGACCATCTAGTTCCTCCTCATTCAACTCTTGACTTCCCAAGAATTTCCAAATCACCCCTCTAGGAATAATTTTTTCCACTGTTGCACTTGCTACTATCTTACCTAACCTCCCCTTCTTCTGCTACACCTTTCAGTGATCTCCTGTACTCCAGTGTGGCCATATCTCACCCAGGGGTCTACCAATTAAAGACTAGAGTGATACAGAACCATTTCTGTCATCCTGGAGACCAATGATGCTTCTCAAATTCAACAACAGCAGTCAACAGAAATGGGAATTTACAAAAGATGACAATGTAATGTATTCACATTATGTGAATACATTGTGTGACAGACTTGACAGTGAACTATCATCTTGTTAGAATGACTTTTATCAATGAAGTGCTATACTGAAAAATACAGTATTTCCAAACCACAGTACTGACTTTATTATTTAAATATTTGAATTAGGATTGATTCTGCCTAACCCTTTGTGATGGATGCACCCCTTAACCAAATCTTTGGTACAGGCTCAAAGGAGGTAAAGGCTTGAGACATAGTCAGGCCAAGAACACCTCCAGGAAACCCCCAAGTGAGCACAGTGATCCAGTGAGCACAGTGATCCAGTGAGCAATGATGCACACGAGCTTGTAACACCAATCCTGTGATTAACACACAGAAGGTGGGTTTTCCAAGACTTCTTTACCTAGGAACAAAGACAGTTGCAAGTACAAGGAGCTTTATGCATACCTTTCCCATCACATGGAATTTGACAACAAACCAATCACTTTATTCCATAAATATGACAGCCTGAGTGATTCTCCTTTGGGGTCCCTACTAGTCAGCATGTCTGCATGGTGCGATCTCCCCTTGAGCTGGGACACCTCTCAAGGTTGCTCCTTGAAGCAGAGAAGCTTTTCTACTAATGACAGATTGTCAGATGAGTCCAATTCAAATTCTCTCTAAATTGCAACTGGACTGCACACTAGTGACTCTTCCATTGAGCTGGGATGCCTCTCAAGTTTGAGATTCCTTACATGAGACTGAGAGATATTCCTTTACCTGAAGCAGAGAGACCCTTTATTCACAACAGATACTCAGTAAGTTGCTGATAACATGCTGAAATAATACTAATGAAATCCATGTACTTAATTCCTTTAGGTATAACCTGTTATCCAACTCTGAGACTAAGACAGGACCTAGCTACACATAAGCTCTATCAGGAGTACAGAAAGGCAGAGAATCTACTCTTAACCTTGTCACTCAACACGAGGGTCTTCCTCACTCCTTCTCGTCTTTGGTCTCAGTGTAAATCATTCTAAAATTATTCAAATTCGAATCTTTTTAGTATGTTTCATCCACGATAGAATGAAACTTGTCACTGAGCTTCGTTAAATCATGTTTATAAATGTTTATTAAGCCCACTTTGCTAAAACCTTTCATGGTGATTCTTTGAGTGACCATAAATCACACATTTGTGACAAATTGGTGTAGTTGGCAGGATCCTAAATCAGAATTTGTTACGTCCTTCTGCACTGGAGTGGATTCTCTAGAAAAATATTCAGCTGATTTACATGAAGTGCACAGGACCTGGGAGCAACGCAACCAGACAATAACCTCTCCAGAAACGGTTGCTGTATATGTCAGATAGAGTTACATAGACCTAAGGTTTTCTTTTAATTTTCTCCATAATGACTGTATTGAAAGACAGCATCAAGACGTGTGCAGCATCCCTAGAGTACTTCAAAATCAAACGAAAGAGAAGAAATTTAGCTGACCTAAACTGCCGCGTGACAAAAGAACACTGGACAATCCTGAGGAACCAAAAAGAACAACACTAGAAAACCGTCTCTGCAAATGCTATAGTTTTCAAGGACTGCGAGGAACCAAGACCATAAGGCAAAGGGCACTGTCTTCTATAGGAAACAGCCATGCTGCACGCTAACAAGTAAAGCAAGGTTTTCCTTGAACTATTCCAGCCTCTGCATAAAACCCTGCACATCATGCACTAAGCTGAAATGCCAGGCAAATGGAGCCTGTCTGCACGAGCTGCCCAGTCTGATAGAGAATGCCTTTCTCTAAACACTTCCGGTTGGCCAGCCCTTTTTGGGTGGCCTGGCTAACAATGGGTAAGTGGAAAGGCCCGAGAGAAAGCTTGCTTTGCTCTGCTTTCTTACACTGACTGTTGCTTTCCTCCCTCACCGTGGCTTCATGTTGGGCATAGTTCTGCACCCAAGGGTAGTGGGGGAGCCTGTCCCCTACCATGGGCTGATGGTGTCTGCTATAAGGGGCCCCTTGGATTTGAAGAAGAAAATTCTTCAAGACATCGGGAGCGGGACCAATACAGATGCATTTAGACATATGTGCTGGGAGTGCCGAGAGGTTTTGTTTTGAGGTGAGCTTTTCAGCTTTGCCTGCGAGAACCGCTACTACAGAGAGAAGTCGCCAGCCAGTGCAAGGCCGCAGGGGCCTGCCCGCCGCCGCCGCGCATCCAAAATCGGCTGCACTGCCCTCTGCCTGCGAGAAACTGTTCCGCCAGAGGACTCTCCCTCTCTGACCGCCTTCTGCCCGGGCCCGCCCCCAGCCGTGCCGTCAGCGGCGGGCGGTGCCGCGCAGCGAGCTGGGGGGGTCGCGCCGCCATGCGATTTCGGGCAAAGATTGTGGATCTCGCCTGCCTCAACAACTTCAGCCGTGAGTATGGCAGGTCAGGCTGAAGGGCGGCAGTGCCTTGCTAAGCGACTGGCTTCGACTTTCCCGGGCAAAGGGGAGAGGAAGGGAGGTGAGGACCGGGCCGCGGGCCCATAGGCCTTTCCTGGGAGGAGGTAGCATGAGGCGCTTTCATTTGCCCCGAGGTGTTTGGGAGTTTCCGCAGCAGCACGAGCTGCGTTTTTGGAGACTGAGGGTTTCTCCCCTGTCCCGCAGGGACCGGGGTGTGTGGAACGGTCACCTCTGTAACGTCCCCCTCCCTCCCTCCGGCAGGTGTAATTAACACAATCTCCAAGTTAACCAAGACGTGCACCCTGCGCCTTACTGTCTGCAAGTTGTATTTCATCCTCTCCGATAAAGTAGCAAATGGAGGCGCGAGTATGTGGTGTGAGCTGTGCCAGGTGAGCCCAGGGAAGTTCAAAAATCACATGGTGTTGAAAACCAGAGCAGGCAGTTGGGTTTGGTGTATGAGGCATTTCTTGCAGCCCTCACCTGAGGTGTGCCAGATCTCTTAAGGCCTGTCTGGTCACAGGCGTTTCAGGTTAGATATCCTCTTTATCTCAGTTGTCACTTCAACTGTAAAGCTTTGGTGTGTGCTGGCCCATATGGGCCTGCCCAAAACTGGAAACAGGAAAGCATAACTCACTGTTTTGTAGACTGATACGTGTTAGAGGAGAAAATAAATAGATTTAGAGCCTGAAGCAATGAGCCTTCATGCTTATGCAGCCTGTTTTGATTCCAGCAGATGATGCCAGGCAGAGGAGAGTTTCCTGTTGTTCCTGTGCAGTTCTAGGCTTACGGTCTGATGGATAAAACTTGCCCCTCTCATTTGCTTTATTTTATTTTGCAACTTTCAAAAATTGTAGGGGAATTTCTTCGACGAATTTCAGATGGAAGGAGTAGCTGCAGAGCACAATGAAATCTATTTAGAGTTGGTGCCTGAGAACCTGTCAAGAGCATTAAAAACTGCCCACAGTGCTAAGGCAGTGAAGATCAAGTTGACTAATAAACACTGTCCTTGTCTCAGAGTTGCTGTGGAGTTAGTAAGTGCAACCATGCTTTTATGTTCATTATTAAGAAAAATTAATTCTTTAAAATTGTGCTTTTCCTAAGATCAAATGATAATCTTTAGTGTAATTCTAGAAAACTGAAAAAACATTGTGCTATTTTCCATTTCACTAGCCTTTCTTGCCATTATGGTTGGTAGCACACAGAACCAGCTTTGTATTTTCCAAAGGCAAGAGGGAGGAAGAATGAAAGCTATGTGATTGAAACAACTTTTTCTAATGTCTTCTTCTTTCCATTACTTCATTCTCTATATCTTCTGTGGATTATTGCCTTTTTATTGAAGCCATTAGGTTTCAGTGTAGTGTTTGGTTCTAGTGATTTGCATTTGATTATCCTGACATTGCATTTCAAACTGCTGTCTTCTGATTTTTGTTGTTGTTGGTAACACCACTGATTCACCTCTTCAGGTCTAAGGATATCTTTTATATATATATATATATATGTGTGTGTATATATATATATATATATACTTATGCATGATACCTCAGAAACCTTTCCTCATTCAAAAGGGAAGTCCACTTTAGAGCATATTGAGAGGAACTTAGGGAAAACTGGAACTGATGTCTGGGACATGTAGTTACTGCCCACAGTGGGTCTGAAAGCTTTAAATTTGGAATTCAAGTCCTGTTTTTAACTGCAAGAGCATCCTCTCTTTCCCTCAAGCCATCTTTATCAAGCAGCAGTAGGATTGTGACACATGACATTCCTGTGGGGGTTATTCCCAGAAGAATATGGAATGACTTCAGAGAGCCCACTATGCCAGACTTTGATGTAAGCCTCTGCTTTTATATTCCGTATGGAAAGGGGAGGTTGCAATTGGAATGCTACTGCTACAGAGTATACTGCTGGGATTTGGAAAGGAGTTGAAAAGAAGGAGGGAAGACTGTAGTCTACAGATTTGGAGAGGGGTGGAACATGGCTTCTGTCTTGACAAGAGAGTCCAGAACTTGTGAAAACAGAGCAGATAGTTACCAGATTTTTCTGTGATATTCAGAGTGGAGGAAGGGAGGAGCAAAGGACTTGCATGTCTTTAAAGTGGAGCGTCTCTAAACCACACAGTTTTAGGCTGTTTCGGCTGTTTCTGCACCAAATGGCCCAAATAATCTGTTCTTTCTGAAATTCATGGCCTACCTGGCAGAGTTAGAGATACGTGTGTTTCCTCCTTTTAGATTTTTAGATATCATCTCTATATATTTTGTGACTTTTAGCAGAGTTGCAAGGAAAGGTCTTTGTGCAAATGTGCTCCTGTTTGAGGTTGTGGATGCCTCTTACCTCTAAGCTAAGAGTATTTAAATTTTGAAGACATACAACTGAGTAGAAACTTGAAGAATTTTGTTCTGTTATTTCAGATTTACACTGCTGCAGTTCCAGAAATGAATGCAGTATCATGGGAATCTTTTTCTTTCCTTTTTGGCTATAGTTATTAACTACTTAGTTACACAGGTGTATACTTTCATGTGAGCATCTGACCTGCAAAAACCTGTCTCTATTTTGAACACGGATTTGGAACATTATGTCTGAAGCAATTGCTAGAGTGCAGTTGCCTGTTGGTATAATGGGAAAGAGTTCCTCCATTCTGAGACATTTGCTGATTTCAGATAAATATTGTGCATCCTACAAGCCATAGATAATTCAGTCCAAACTAAGATAGAATTGAAAGGAAAAATAAATGTGTCACATCCCAGACACACATGAAAAACTTGTGCAAATGAAGTTCTTATGTCTTTCTAGGTCAGTATTTACCTACCAGTGCTGAAAATAATGAAGAGTGTTGTGGAAAGAATGAAGAATCTCAGCAATTTCATTGTAAGTTAAGGCACTTCAAATATGTATGCTACAGACCTTACTTCAACAGGGACGTAACATTTCACTGTTGTAAACTGGTGACACCACATTATATCTTATTTTGGGATGAGACAGACATTGAAATCAAGGCACCTGAAGACTGTATGAAGTTGAAGAGAATGATGGGATTTATTTTAGGATTTACACTGAAGAGCTTCGCAGAAAGTGATACTCTTTGTACTGAACTCTTGAAAGATCATGGCATTGTGTTGCTACAAGCCACTCTTTGTAGCTGATAAGAATTTACAGTCCTTCAGGAAGCTGGCTAGAGACTTTCCAGGTGACTTCATTAAAGAAATGAAGAGTGAGTCTTGGGTTAGGTGTCTGTGTGAATGAACTTTAGGTAAACTTGAGGTAGGATTTAAAGGAAATTCTACTAATAGCTCCTGGATGACAGACTGTGCTTTAGGCTCTGACAGGGTGGGTTTCCAGTCTCCTCTGGGTTTCTGGAGTCCTGGAGTGCCTTCCATTGAAAGAACCCCTCTGCAGTTGGACATAAAAAGGCTTTGGGTTTTTTATTTAGTTGTTTTTGCTCACAGTCACCAGAATTGATTAACATGGAACTTAGTAAGTGTAGAGCTTTGAAATAGTTTGGTTTTAGTGCTATTTATACCAGTTTTGATAATTAGGACATTTTCTGTTAACTGACAATCCTGAAATTGGGACAGTCTCAGTTTTCCAGACTTGGAAGAGTTGAGAGATTACCCTGGGTTTCTGGCAGTTTTGCAAGTGGCAGTCATCCTGAAAATACACTTGAAACTCTTTTTCTTTATTAGTCTTTTGGGGGACTTAATTTTTGCTTTCTTTCCCCATGTCCTCAGTGGAAATGCCTACACAAAATTAAGCACAGGGCTTTGTTTCCAGAGCTAAGGATCTTTTCTCACACTGGATAGCTGTATGATGGGATTGAATCTGGTGTTCAGCAGCACTCAGAAGAGGTAGTGTATCAACACTGGGCATACCCACTTTACTAAGTGCCTTGCTTTCATGTTATTAAAGAACAAAAACATCAGTTATCACAATTCTTTTTGCTAGATGCATCCTGGTAATAAAACTGGCCGAGATCAGTGCTGCAAAATGGATTTTTAGAAGCAATTTCAGATAGTTGGCCCATTGTTTGGGAGCTTGGCCTCTCCCTTCTATAGGAGATTCTGGTTGTGATGCATCTTTTTAAAAATTATTGAGAATTCTTCTAATCACAGAAATGAAGTGCTTAGTTATGCTTTAGGAATCCTCTGATCTGCTTGGGATTTGCATAAGGTCATGTGTAGTCTCCTTCTGGCTGGACACTTGGTTAGGATGGAATTTGAAAGCTTTCAGCACTCTTCCAGGATTTCTAGTGGTTCAGAGTCCTTCTTAGAGTTACTGGTCTGATGCAGTGGTTGTCTTTAAGTTTTCTAAAGCAGCTCTGTAACTGCATGTCAACTCCTGGTGCATCCCATATTCTGTGAGTGTCATACAGACTGTGAGGTGCCTTTCTATTTGTGGAGGAGCTGAATGGAAATGCAGGAATCCTTGCGTTTTTTCAGATTCAGCTTCTCATTTCTAAAGCCTTTTTCCTAGGGCATGAATTTCCCAAAGTGAATACTTGTTCTAAAAGTACTGGAGAGCAAGTCAATTTCTTTCTTTTCATAATTTCTGAGAGTTTGGTCTCCGATAATTCATACAGGAAGGATGAGAAATACACTTTGTAGCCGAACATTTGAATGTTCAAACCATGTTCAGAAAGTATGGTTGACCTGCTTCTGGAAGCTTGTATTTGAACAAAACAACTGTATTCTTCTGTAATTCTGCAGTGTAAAAGTGGGTTGCCTAAAATCGAGATTGATTGTGTTGCAGGTGATTGAAGCAAACTTGAGTGGAGAAATGAACTTGAAAATAGAAACTGACTTAGTATCTGTAACAACACATTTTAAAGACCTGGGAAATCCTCCCTGGGGTATGTTTCTCTGCTACCTCTTGTGTCTGTCTGATCTCATTACTTAAGTGTGTTGATTATAACAGTACTTACTTTTTATTCTTTAGAAAATAGCATCAAGTACTTTAAAGTCTTCAAATGAAATCTTAAAAGAAAACGTGGCCTATGGCTGTTTCATGTTTAGAGGGGTGGGAGATCTCTTCCAATATTGTTGACAGCTTTGTAGGAAAACTGGGCTTTCTTTTCCTTGCACTACTGTTTCTGAAAAACAAGCCATTTTAGTTCCAATGCTTCAGCAGTTTTCAGTGGTGTCCCTGTATGTGTTGAAACTCCTTATTTAAGTGTTGTGTTCTTATGCTTTTAGCATCAGAAGATGGGTGTCAAAGTTCTGCTCAAGGCAGAAATCTGGAAAGTATGGCTGAGGCACGCATAGACATCAAGAAGCTGCAGCAGCTGCTTGCTGGACAGCAGGTCAATCCTACAAAAGCATTGTGCAGTAAGTTCAGCAGCTCTGTTTGCAAACTCCAAGGAGGGATGTTTGCTGTACTTATAGTCTCAGCAGAACAGCATATCCTCCGTTTTGTCTGTTTAAAACTCAACTATTTTTATTGTACCCGATGACTTTTAATATTTATATTTTTAGGCAGTAAGCTTCAGACTTAAGGCATTTGGGGAAGAAAAAAAATAAAATAAGTCAAGCCCTTTTATCAAGTTGAATAATCAGACTGACAAATCATGGGTGTTTTCTTGTCTTTGTTTTGAAGTTGTTATTTTTATTATTATTTTGAGGTATTATTTTTTGGAAGTCTTAAAGTCCTTAGGTTCTAGTGGAGAAACTGGAATTTACTGTCATGTGGTTGTTTTTTTTTTCCCCTTTGGATGCCTTCTTACATTGATTCTAATACCAAAATGCTTTTTATACAGCTAGTGTTTCTAGCCATAGAAACAGTATGTACTTTCTAGCAGAAGGCTATGCAGGGGTCTATACTCTATTTTAATAACTCGGTATGCTTTTCCTGAGAACATCTGTGTATTATCGTTTAGTGCAGATGCTAAGAATTTCCCAAGGAAGATTTAAATAATGGGTATAGCATTATAAACCTATACCTATACCTATTAGATATTTGCTTTTTGATATCAGCTTTCATAGACTATTAATGCTTCCTAAACCATCAAGGACCTGAATATGTCTAGTCATCCTTCTGTCAGAAGTGGTAAAAGCATTGTATTCTTATGGTGGCATTCTGTAGAATATGTAAGTATTTTTCCTGCTTTAGGATGGATTTGTTTTTTAATTTTTTTTCTCTTTTACAGATATTGTAAGTAAAAGAATTGTCCACTTCATCTTGCTGCATGAGGATGTTTCACTTCAGTATTTTATTCCAGCACTTGCCTGAATATTTTGGAATCTTGAGCATTTTCCAACCTGAGACCTTTTCCATGAAGTCTGAAATCTTTCCTGAATTGCTGGAGTATTTTCGCATGATACACTGTTAGAAGCAGCCATCAGATGGACATTATTTCAGTGTTTATGAAATTATTCATAATACCTCCTCATCCAGAAAGCCGTTTTGGAAAGATGTACCTCTGGGAAGCTGACATATTGCAGTCTTAAGGGAAACAAAACTGAAATTTGAATGTGCTTTTGGGATGCTTTGAGCTATGGGGATGGCAATGAAGTATTTTGGTTTTGTCAAAAAACATAAAGGTAGAATGCATCTCTGGAGCTGCTGCTGTGTGTATTCAGTATTGGGCAATGCAGCTCCAAGTTAAGAGGTCTCTAAGCAAGCCATCATACTTCCATGGAGCAGGAGAGCCCTCTGGAGGGTTGCAGATTGGTATTTGCCTAAACAGGTACACACAGCCCTCCTGAAGTGGTACTAAATTGAATTCTGTTCCAGTAGCGATGTGTGTGAACTTGATGCTGTTAAATGTTGTGCAGCAGAAATCTAACTGCCAGCAAGTAACAAGATATAACAGATGCTAAGGAGCACCAGCAGTTCAGCAGCATCTCTTTTTACCTGGTTGTGTCTTTTGATCTGACTTGCTCCAACATAACTCAGTAGCTCTGTGCTTACTCTTTGTTTAGCTCTTGGCCTGAGAGGATGAGCTAAACAGTCTGGATTACTTTGCTAATGTGGGCAGTGAAAATCTGTGTACAAAATGAGGACATGCATGAACACAGCAATTGGTGTGAAATAAAGGGCAAGTTATCTCTGAATCACATTTTTTCCGCTTTTCAGATGGAAAGCATTGTACAACATGTGTTGTCATGGTGTCAGACTTGGTGAGATTGCATCTAGGCTCTCATCACAAGCAGCCAAGAGCAAGACTAAGTCTCATTCATGGGAGTACTGCCCCTTCTTCTATTTCCTGGTTATCTTATGAGGTCTTTTCTTCTTTATTCCATGTGTGATTTATTTGTTATCTGGACATGTTCCATATAGCTTTTAGTTGTTTTAGAAATAGTGAGTGAGGTTTTGCTGCCAAATGCGACTGGGAGTTTCTGCTGGGAAGTAACTTGTCATGGTCAGAAGTGCTGGGGTTTTGGTTGTTTTTTTTTTTTTTTTTTTTTTTCAAAGGGCATTGAGGGTAAGGGAGCAATGAATCTTTTGTTCTTGCAGATGCAAAGGGTCAAGAGAAGGCTGAAAGAGAGGCAGTGGTCTGGAGATCTTACACTTCTTTGCCTTCTTTCACTATCACCATCAGACTAACCAGGAAGCATCTTCCAAATCCTGTTAGTTTTCATGGGCAGCTTCAATTGCGCCAAAAATCTGTGTAAGATGAAAGTAGGTGTACTCCAGCTTACAGGAATTGCATGATAAGAGGTATGTGGTAAATATTCCTGGTGTTTTTCCTGGGGAGAGGGAAAAAACTATCAGAATGCAATACAGAACATGCACTATGATGGTAGGCTTTGAAATGTTTGCATTTCTGTTTGAGAAATGTGTGTATAATATAACCTGATGGAAATTACTTTTTCTGGTATAGTATAAAAACTAGTAATAATGACCTCTGTGCAGGCTTTGCAATTGGTAGTTTTAAAAGAGATCAGAAGTTATAATCACAAGAAAATGGTTGCCCTTTTTTTTTTTAAAATAAATAAATAAATAAATAAATAAATAAATAAATATGAGAGTAATGCTGGTACATGTCAAGAGTATGCAGTGACATGTCCATTTCATATTCTGGAGGGGAGGAGGCTAGACAGAGCAACAGGTGTAGTTTCTCCAGCCTCAGTGCTTTCTTACCCTCCTTGTCTAAGTACAGCACATGGATATAGCTCAGACCTGCCATCCAGTTGACCATCCTGATCAGAGGGAAAAATACTACTTATTCAGGTTTAAACCAGCTGTCAACTGTGAACCAGTCGTCAGAGCCCTGAGGGCCTTAATGGCCCTAACCAGTCTCACCAGGGAGACTGCCCCCCATCCATGGGCCCACAGCTGGTGTTTCAACTCTGTGTCATCCTGTACTCCTGCCTGGGCCCAGCCCTATGGGTGTTTGGATTTCCTGGATTGGCTTCAGATGGGAGTTGTTGCTCTCACCACTTGGTTCTGCCTGCCTGGTTTAGGTTCTATGAGCCTGTGCCCCAGTTTTACGGGTGCTGCCTAGCCTGCATTGTGGCCATCCTCTGCTTCTGGCTTCCTCAGTCCTGGGACAGCCTCACTTCCTGCTCCCTAACACCAATAATGAAAAGAACTATTTGTCATTATCAGCCCTGGTTGGTTCCACATGGTGAACCAATTGTTTTATGCCAGAAAATTATTGTTGTTGCTTAAGCCACCAAGACAAAAAGGTTTGGAGCTGCTGATGGGACTAGAAAATAACTAAGACAATTCACCTTCTCTTCAACGCTTTGTTCTCTGAACACATTTCTATTACAGGATGTAATCTGATTACCACCTTCAGCAGCTCTGGCTCAGGACTTCTGCTACTTCCAGTAGCACAGCTACTGGAGCCTAGTCTAAGGTACCTGTGTACCAGGACTGTGTTTACCCTGGGCTGCTTAATGTAGTTGCCACTTTCCCACTTGCTGGTTCAGCTGGAAGTGAAGCTGAGCTTTTGTCTCAGAGACACGTACAGACATGCACACAGGACACTGACATGGCTACTTACAGGCTGCCACAGACAGCTGCGTCTTTAGCTGCATCCACCTACAGGACCTATGTTAAACAAGCCCAGGCGGCCACATCCCTTTTCTCCCCTTTGTCTAGCAAAGGCAGAAGGGCCGTAATGCAGGCACACACACAATGCTCTCTAGGTTCACAAGCACATGTTCATAGATTCCTCGAGTACTGGCACTGTGTGCCTAGCACCCTTGCACAGATCCTGGCTCTCTTACCTGCCATATTGGTCCCTTATTCACTGTCTTGTCCAGGTTGGTGTTCACTAGCAACGTTCACACTCTCGTTCCACAGGCATCCCATACTCTGAATATAATCACAGACCCTTCACCTGCCTAATACCCCAGCCTGCCCCAAGCCCTCATGCTCACTGGCTCATCGAGCTTTGAGTTTGGTAGCAAATGCTCACTCCAAGCACACCTAGTTTGGGGAACGCAGACATTTGACCTGCATCATCCAGCACAAGGTACGTGGGCACAAGGTACATCACCTACAGTCCGGCTCTAGCCACAAGTACTAAGCTCCACACCTGCCTCAGTCATGGCAGTTCCACGCAGTAGTTGGTGTTTGGGACACACACTACTGGCTGGTGGCTGGGACCCCCACATTCGCTCCAGTAGCTGACACCACAGCCCTGAGGCACTTACACCTCCAGTCTGATTCTAGCAGCTGGCACCAATCTCACTCATGCTGATCCCATCTGTAGCTGGCACCTAATCCTTGCAGCACATAAGACACACAGGAAGGAGAGCGAGGTAGGCTATCCAGAGATAAGGAAGAAAGGAATTAATGAGAAGATAGAATAGATTTGCAGTGATGAGTGTGTTGACTGACTGCATTTATAGGGTTTTCTGCCTACTCTCCCTTTGTTCCTCTCAGCTCTCCCTTGCCCTGCACATTGCCTCATCAGTTGTCCTATTTCCACCCACTCCCTCCAACATGCTGGCCCCTGAGGTTTGCATCTTTATAATTTGCAGCGTTCCATTTTGCCTGTGGTGTGAGTTGACCTTGATAAGCAGCTACTCAATCACTCACACCTGGTGGGATGGGGGAGAGAATCAGAAGGCTAAAAGTGAAAAAACTCTTGGGTTGAGATAAAGCAGTTTAATAGGTACAACAAAAGCTGTATGTGCAAGTAAAGCAAAGTATAGAATTCATTCAGTACTTCCCATGAGCAGGCAGGTGTTTAACCATTCCTAGGAAAGCAGGGCTCCATCATATGTAACGCTTACTTGGGAAGACAGACTGCATAACTCCAAATTCCCTCTCTTTTCTGCTTTTCTCTGAGGTGAACACAATGCTGTATGATATGGGATATCTCTTTGGTCAGTTGGGGTTAGTTGTCTTAGCTGTGTCCTCTACCAACTACTTGTGCACCCTCAGCCTATTTGCTGGTGAGGCAGTGTGAGAGTAATGCCTTGACACTGTTAAGTTGTGCTCAGCAAAAACAAAAACATCCCTGTATTATCAAGAATGTTTTGGTCACAAATCCAGAATATAGCACCATATGAGCTACTATGAAGAAGACTAATTCTGTCCCAAACAAAGCCAATGTAACCTGCCATTTCTTGGTAGCCCAACAATTATTGTGAATAACCAGATGTTTTTGGCTCTATTTTTTTCTGGTTACTGTCTTTGTTAATGGTAATTAATCAGGGTTTATATTTGTGTGTTTGTCTCCTTCCTTTTCTTTTTATCATCCAATATAGGATGTGATAATCAAATAACCTTGGAATAAACATTGTGACACTCCCACATACTCTGCCTCTTATAATATTTCCATCAATTTTGTGTCCCTTGATGTTCTTTTTTACAGTTTCCTCCTCTTCTTTTTTTTTCGCATGGTGTGGAAATTTACTTGTAACCTTCTCTTGTTTTCCTTGCTTTCTGGTTACACACTACATTACTGATCCTTATTTTAATGCTGCTTTTGACAAAGCCCTTGCATAGAGTCTGATTTTTTTTAAGGCCACAGGAATTCAAAAGGAGTGAAATTATGATTAGAAAGAGAAAACAATAGAAGGCACTCTGCATTCCTAAGAAAAACAAAGCTGGGAACAAGCAATGGACCTCAGTTAACACTTGTGACAGGGTGAGATTTTTTTGTAGTCTTTCTTAAATGACAGTTCTCAAATGGGCACAGGGCAGTGACTAAATGTAAGACTGAAATTGTTTCGGCTTTGTAAGCTATGGAAAAAATATTGTATCTAGAACAAGCATCATAAATGACCCAGTTCAAATAATTTAGACACAGACTGTGGTATGCTGAACTCAGCTGAGATTAGGTGGCTAAATAGCTTACGTGATCTGGACTTCAGCATCTCTATGTTCAGTGCTTCATATGTAAAACAATAATCTTCCTACTATACAGCTGGGTGCAATATGGGGCAAATAAATGCATGAAGAATTTCTGGCGCATTTGGCTTCTCTGATAGAAGCTTAAATCTAAATTCTGACTTTTGTAGGTATTATGTGGGGTATTTCATAGGTGTTTATGTCAGGGAAGCAAACTTTGTTAGCCTATGTGGGCTGGTACCATAAATGTTTGGCTCTCCTTTCCCTAGAATGGGAGGATGTGTGTGTTCAACTCCTAGTTATTTAATAAGTAATCTCTCACTTTGTGATGTACTATTGATGATAATCTTAAGCACAATTTATTGCAGTTCACTAGAAGAATATTGGATTTCCCCACTTTTCATACCAGGTTGTTGGATTTTCCTTATCCTTAACAGATTTAAAGACTGTATTTTATGAACTTGTATGGTTTACTGTCACACCATTTTAACTATGGAAGATGTCAAATTGGAGCTGATTGCCTTCTACAATGGCTGGCTGGATAGATGAGGGGAGAGCAGTGGATGTCATCTACCTGGACTTCAGCAAGGCTTTTGACACTGTCGCTCATGATATCGTGATAGGCAAACTCAGGAAATGCGGGCTGGATGGTTAGGTGAGTTGAGAACAGGTTGCATGGCAGGTCTCAGAGGGTTGTGATCATTGGCACAGGGTCTAGTTGGAGGCCTGTCACTAGTGATGTCCTCCAGGGAGAAGTACTGGATCCAGGAGTGGCTGATACCCCAGAGTTCTGTACTGCCATTT